ATACTTTTGGGTTCGATGATTTTGGGATCGACACTTTTTATATATGGATCGACACTTTATGGGTGCACCTTGTTTTCCATTCATTCTGGGGAAAAAATATCGACACAAACTATATTAGTGTCGACACATTATTTAGACATATTCTCTCATAAAACCGGTATAATTGTACCGGTTAGATTGAAAAATTACATATTACATTATACTTTTGGTTTTCGATGTTTTTGGGATTGACACTTTTTTATATATGGATCGACACTTTATGGGTGCACCCTGTTGGCCATATTGTAAATTTGCCTTTTACTTCCAAGTATCGACATGACCCTTAATGTGTATAAGAAACATGTACAACAACATACTGCTAACTTTTCTCATCTCATTCATAATTATATTCACATACAAAAATATAAATCGTATACAAAATTATAATCTTATACAAAATTAACTCGACATTTACATCATTGCATCCTTTTGTTATTCTTATGTAATATTGCAGCTTTTGTTATCTCCTGTCTTCGTTCATTTTGATTGTGGCTTACAAGATCGTTTAATACTCGCGATCGATCCCAGTCTCCAACAACCTATATTCAAATTGTCAGAACGTTAAGTATTGTCAACTACAGCATTCAATCTACGACTTTTAACAATTTTACCACAAACAATTTTTTCTATCCACTTACAAAATCACCAGTTGCCCCTGTAGAACCGATCGATTCCATCCACATCATCACATACATGCCGCAATCATATCTGTTACAAAATTTGAAAACCACACATGTCAATTATGATGAATACTGCATAAATTAAGCTTTCTATTTGTGATAACATCTCATACCCATTCAATTGCTTATTCTTCTTATGCTCCACAAATTTGAAATTTTTCAAGGGATACTTTCCTAGAGATCCACATGACTCAACCCAAATGCGTTTCTTATTATAAGAATCTAATATTTTAATCTGCATTAAAATAGAAGAAGTTATACACCAAAAAAATTATGCATTATAATTTACATAATGTCCTTTCATACATACATACATACCAATCTCTTAGCATCCTTCACTCTCTGTTTAGCTGCTTCAGTTGTAAACATACTATCATATATTGTTACAACATGATCTACCATATCCAACACCAACAGATACCAATGTGAATTATGGTAGTTTATTGTGATCATTATCTGCAACAAATTTCACACCCAATTTGACAAAATTCAACATTCTATATCTGAAAACATCATTTGCAATTGGTATGGTGTCTTACCTTCTCACAGTCGGTGAATTTCACATAGTTATCCAATATGACACCCCAGAAGGTAGAAATATTCTCAACACTTTCTTTGTTATTGGCTTCCAACGCCTGTTGCTGTAATTACGCAACAAACATTATTAATTTACCGTCTATAACACTACTTTTCAATATTTATTAATTTAACTCACCACTAAGAGGTATGGAAGGTAGCCAATCCTCCGGTGTGACTTTTGAGAATCGTAGCATATGGTACAGGCGAGCAAATCGATAACCTAACAAAATTAATTACACAATCAGAACATATTCAATAAGTTTTATTTATTTTCTACTTTCTACTTACCACACCGCCAACCCATTCCGTAGGCTTCAACGTTGCAACGTCGTATACAGTAGCGAATTGATTTCCCATTGATATTACAGAATATCTGTATGAATCATTAGGATTAATATCTTGTCATGAAATATTTAAATATCACTCACAAAACAATATATTTCACTTACCCCGATTCTAACTCGCTATTCCATAAATAATCACAAATTGCAGCTTCGATATCATCAATTCCGGTTGGAATATCCGCTTTTTCAACCTACAATTTTGCATACAAATTTTTGTCACAACAACATAATAAAAATCAAATTAAGTATTCTTTTATTAAACTTACCTTCTGCTTCTTCTTCTGGGGTGCAGGACATTCCGAATCCAAAACTGCTGCTATAACACTCTCCGGTGTATAAATGACATCGACTTCCTTCCTCCTCATTTCTTCTATCTCTTCTTCTTCCTCCTCCCTCTTTTTTTCTTCATATTTTTTCAGTTCATCGTACTTTTTTTCTACATAGCTCTTCATATCTTTTATTTCACCCTTCAATTGAGCTCCTTCATCCGAGTATTTATCAACCACCCCCTTCACCCCCGTAAGTTCACTCTGTTTTGCTTCACCGTCGTCCCACTCACCTTCATCCCCCAATACAACCATCCCTCCTTTCTTCTCCTCTGCCTCCACTGCCTCCTCTACATCCTTGCCAATAACCTTCAAAAAATTAAATTACAATATTAAGACATTGATTATATTCTTAATATTATTTAATTACATTTATTACCATTTCTTGCTTCTTCCCTCTATCCAACTTCAACTTCACCATCACTCTAACCACCTCTTCCTTCCCCCATGCACGGATGCGTGCCACTCCGGTTCTTTCATAAGCCGGCACTGCCTCACAGCCCGACCAAAAATCGAACAGTGCAACCTGCATTTATAATAAAATTTATATTTTTATATAAAAACACAAAAAAGTGATTCAACTCATTTACCTCTAAGATTGCTATGCACCCTTTGAGGTATCTCTGGCTGCCCTTTTTAAAGGTGATTATTGATTCAATCAATCTCGAATGGATATATTCAGCCCAATTGAATTCACCCTTCAAGCCTTCATCGCAAATGAGCTTCATATATTCCTTGTTCGTTGACGTATCACCCGTTGGACAAAGAAATATCCCGACAAGGTACAATAGAACTCGGGCCTTCAGCTCATCCCCCAAGTAAGATCCACTTTTGATATCCTCTTCAACTTCAGTATATGTCACCTTATGATTCAAACCATATTTGGAGGCAAGTGCTTTCCAGTTCTTACTCCTACAGACTTCTATAACACTTTTGCCTTTGTTTTGTACCCCCAATACGGCTGCAGCAGTCGATACCCCCAGAGGGAATGAATAATCACCATACTTAGCCATACATTGACTGACGTCAAATTGTGCCATCAAGGATCGACACAATTCCCTCCGAATAGGTCGATCCCTTACTCCGATCAACGATCCAAAACCTATTTCTCCCAGCACATTCAACTGACCCTTCTCCTTAAGGTGTTTAATTAATAAATTCACCCTTTTAATGCTGCATCTTGTCGACACTTCCTACATTTTTTAACAATATATAATGTTATAGTTCTTATATATTTTGTATCAACGTATTTACAAGTTTAATGAATACCTTATTTTCATGTGCTTTCCTCCGTTCTTTGTATTCTTTACTATCATTCCTTGACTGTGTGATGTAAGGTTCCTTTTCAGCATCACTCATTGAATTCCATTTGGACCTCACATCTTTTTCACCTAATATTAAACATAAACGTTTCTTAATCAATACATTAACACTAAATACTAATACTACTCAATGTCAATTTCATTTTACATACCGAACCGCTCTGTGTGCCATCTCCCTTCATCCTTTTGCATTCGGCCATACTGTTAACATTTAAAATTTGTAATCAATTTAAAGTTTATCGATACTTTAATCCAATTACCATTTCAACAATAATAACAAAAAGACATTGATACTTACTAGAAGTACATATATCCACCCTTTGGTTGCTTTCGAGTCTCGGCCTCAATTTCAAAGTCATCTGCTCCACCAACAATTTTCCAACCCATTGACTCCATTTTTCCTTCATATATCAGTTTACGCAAATCAAATTATTTTGTTACATACACTTTTCAATATACAAATATAGATAACTACTCTTGTGGTAAAACGGTTTTCTTCAAAAGAATTTGAATGGCCACACCAAAATGTGTCGGCACATTTATACAACCTATAATATCATTTTCTACCTATAATATTTAATAAAAGTATCGACATTTATATTTTTCCTTGAATATCTATTTCTACCTGCAATCGGTCCCAAATGCTTCCTTACTCCAAAACCCCAAACAACACATAAAAAACCCTATCGCAATTACTGTAATAATAAAAAATTAGGGTTTCGACAACATACTTTTCGATTCGACTGCAGCAACAAACAAACAAACTTCGCTTTAGAAACGCCTTCTGAAATGCAGCAACAATTACTCTTCGATTTCAAAAACTCGTCCGTTCTATCTTTTTTCAGAGGATATTTAGCTATGGCCTTTATATTTTCATCGGATATGTTATTTATATTTAATCGATACAAATACAAAAGTGTCGATACTTTTATGTCAGGTGTCGATACTTTCGAAAGGATAATTACTTATTTCTTTGAAAGTGTCGATAATTTATTACACGTACTTACGAAAGTATCGACACTTTCAATATATCCGGTATCATTTTACCGGTTTTATCATTTTGTTACCGGTTTTATCATATTTTACCTGTTATATCGTTGTGGATCGATATATTTTTTTAAAGTATCGACACATTATAGGCGCTATAACTGCTTCTCTTTTAAATTCACAAAGTGTCGATCCTTATATAACGTATCGACACTTTTAAATTTACCGGTTTTATCATTTTGTTACCGGTTTTATCATATTTTTATCTGGTATATCGTTTTGGATCGATATATTTTTTAAAAGTATCGACACTTTTTAGGATTTAAAACTGCTTTTAAAGTTATGTAATTTATGTTTCAATTTATTTAATAGTGTTTCATGTTTTCCACCTACAATATTAATTTAATAATTTAATTTACACAAAATTTTATTTGATTGTTTTGATATTTTATAAAATATTATTTAGAATTTAAATTTAACAATATTAACCAAATAATTTAATAAATATGTTTTCAACAGTGAAATAAGTATGGACACTTTTATAAAAATGATATATACTTTTTTGAAAGTTATGTAATTTATGTTTCAATTTTTTTAATAGTGTTTCATGTTTTCCACCTACAATATTAATTTAATAATTTAATTTATACAAAAAATTATTTGATTGTTTTGATATTTTATAAAATATTATTTAGATTTTAAATTTAACAATATTAACTAAAGATAATAATAAATATATTTTCATAGTGAAATAAGTATGGACACTTTTATAAAAAGGATAGATAATTTACAATATAACAGGTAAAAATATGACAAAACCAGATTCATTATGACAAAACCGGTAAAATTTACTTGATATGTTAAACGTATGGACACTTTTATAAAAAGGATAGATACTTACCGATAACCAAAGTTTACCGGTTACCAAATTTTTTAATAGTTTTTCATATTTTCTACCTAAAACATTATTAGTTGTCAACATAATAGGTACCGCTAAACCGAATTTATTAAATACATTTTAATGTATCCGGTAATACTGTATATTAGCCGTATATTAACCCGCCTTTCCTGAGACAATCCCAATTTACCCTTTTCTAAAGAATCATAAAAGTTTTATTCTTTTTAACTGATACTAAATACTATAAAAGCTTTGTTAAAATAGTATAATAATAAGATACATCGTACCCTTAAAAAAATGAAAATTTAGGTTTTTGAAAGGACACTGTTGAAGTATAGGTTCAATTTTCCGTTGCAATAACGAATTTTCTTTCTCGGCTCTAGAAAATAAATCAGCATGGAAATTTCAAAGTTGAACAGTATTTGTCAGTAAGAGAACTAGGATGGACATATTCCAGCTTCCCCCAAATGATAGGCAGAACCTTCGAATGGCGAAATGCAACTAAATTGGGCTGACTGCTGGACCAACCTGGCCTAAACTGCTTTCGAATAGAGCCAAAGCCGCCTCAATAGTTAATAAACTAATCATTTTTCAAGAGTTCTCTCTCACTAGAAAGCACCTTCAAATAGCATGTCCCAAGGTCCAATCCTCCACTTAAACCTGTTGCTGCTACTGTAATTGCTGATCTTTACATAAAATTTCACTTCTTTTTCTAAGTATTTCCTCCATTTCATTCTTTTTTAACAGCTCGAAAAGCAATGGCGAGTTTATCGAACTCGCTTCAACTTAAGCACGGACCAAGTCTCTTGTGCCCTCACTCTTCTTCTTTCACTCGTTCTCGCCCTTCCCCTTGCATCCGATTCAGAAGCTTCACCAGAAACTTCGTCGTTTCCTCTTCTTTTTCTAATGACAACCGAGAGTCAGTTTCTCTGAATCAAAGCTTTCTTCTTTTCCGCTTTCCAATTTGACTAACAATTCCATGTTTATATAACTTGATGGAATCTGGGTTATTCATTTTTTCCTGCATCTGATAGATTTGTGATCGTTGGAGGAGGCAATGCTGCTGGGTACGCAGCGAGGACATTCGTCGAACATGGTATGGCTGATGGCAGGCTCTGTATTGTATCTAAAGAGGTGATTTCCATATCATATTATGCTTTTTTTAATGATTCTTTTACTATTTAGTGGTGTTGATTTTGGGCTTTTGGTTTGACGTTGTTAAAATTTTGCAGGCATATGCACCGTATGAGAGACCGGCTTTGACAAAAGGCTACTTGTTTCCTATAGATAAGAAGCCTGCTCGATTACCTGTATGAATCTTCTGCACAGCTGTTTTTTTAAAATAATCTGAATTATGTATTTTGTGCTTGTTAAGAAATTATTTTGAAGGATGCTTGTTAAGAATTGTGAGTGAACGTGTCCTTTTCTTGTACATTGGGTCATTTTGAGTCCTTTGCTTGTGATTTTCAGATGAAAATATGTTGCTAGTTCATGTGCTCAATGATTAGAACTTCAAACCTATTCGGGTTTAGTTTTCTGTAGGCTTCAACTTTTTCATGCTCGTAATATGTTATATACTGTTTTAATTGTTTCGAATTGAATCATAATAGGGTTTTCATACTTGTGTTGGATCTGGTGGTGAAAGGCAAACTCCTGAATGGTACAAAGAGAAAGGGATCGAGGTATTTCTTCTAGCTGATTTTGGTATTTGTCTTTCGTAACCTTTAACTTCATGAGCTGAGAAACAGATGTTTGCCTGTTCTAACCTTCTCCCCTGCTTCTCTTTTATGATTAGATGATTTATGAGGATCCAGTAACGAGTATTGATACAGAAAAGCAAACCCTAACTACTAATTCAGGCAAATTGCTGAAGTATGGATCTCTTATAATTGCTACAGGATGTACAGCCTCAAGGTAATCGTATCGGTTTGCATTGGCCTCCGATTTAATTGTCCTAGATTATACACACGAACTAGTGAAACAATTCAGAAGTGGTCACTGATTTCTTGATGTATTTATTTCAGATTTCCAAATCAAATAGGTGGTAGCCTTCCTGGTGTGCACTATATTCGGGATGTTGCAGATGCTGACTCACTAGTCTCATCTTTGGTACTTTAAAGAGCTCCTGCAACTTGTAGATTTTCTTTTTTTCTTTTAAATGTTGTTACCTTGGTTCCTATATGGTTGATAAAAATTTTTATTTAATTATTTAGGAGAAGGCACATAAGGTGGTGATTGTTGGTGGTGGTTATATTGGGATGGAAGTTGCTGCTGCTGCCGTTGGCTGGAAACTTGATACTTCGGTAATTAATTTAATTCGGTAAATTTACTTTGAGTTCTTAATGAAACCAAAACAATCAGTTCCATTTCTGCTGTAGTGTTCCTCTGTGGTCTGAATTCAGGTGTCACTTCTAATATCTTGAAAACTGAGAGTGAAAAGTTTCTTTATGTTTCAAGAAAATGAGAAATGTATATATTCAGAGTTCAGACACAAACATGTGCATTCTGCGTGAGCCTGTGCACAAGATTATATATTTTGTAATGACTTGCTGAGCTTTAATTCAATATCCTTTTGCCCCTAATGCAGATCGTTTTCCCAGCGGATCAGCTTTTGAAAAGGTTATTCACTCCTTCTCTTGCTCAGAGGTATGAAGAGCTATACAAAGAGAACGGTGTCAAATTTTTGAAGGTGCTAGCTCTCTGAGTGTCTCTTTTCTCTTACACACGCTGCAATCTGAATTCATGTGGAGCAATTTAATGTGAAATTGGTTTCCAGTTAGTCGCCAGTAAACACCTGAGCTTGACTTATACCTGTGGCTGAGTATTCTGATCTTGTTAAATCACTGACCAGGATGCTTCTATCAAAAACTTAGAAGCTGGTTCTGTTGGACGGGTAGCTGCTGTTAAACTTGTAGATGGATCTACTGTAGAAGCTGACACGGTAACCATTTTGTTATAAGTAAAACTCCTTTTTTGTATTTTCTTATTTGTTTGTGGTGGGGGAACTGGGCAAGTTGTCCTTTTATCCAATATTTTCAACATTCTGCAGGTAGTTATAGGTATTGGAGCAAAACCTGCAGTTACTCCCTTTGAAGCGGTAGGGTTAAATTCTACTGTTGGTGGCATACAGGTGAGCCTCATCTTTATTTTGATCAGATTATGTTATTCATTTATACGATTTATTATAATTAGCTTATATGCATTGTTATTCATGTATCTAGTAATATACATAAATATTTTATGATATTGTGGTCACTTTATGCAGGTAACCAACTTGTTGTACTAGTATATATTATATGCCTTGATGAAATTCTTTCATGTTTTTTTACATTTTCTATTGTTTACTGTTAAGAAGACCACTAGACCACTGACATTTTTTTCATGCATTTTTATGATCACGGTTGAGATTCTGATTGTTTCTTGTGGAGTATGTGAATATGATGATTGATGTCTGAACATGAACCAGGTTGATGGTCTGTTCCGGACAAGCATACCTGGAATCTTTGCAGTGGGAGATGTTGCAGCATTCCCCCTTAAGGTACAATATTTTCAAATCAACATTCATTTTTCCTTTCAAGATCTATAAGTAGTAAGTACTCATTTTATCATGACAGATGTATGACCGCATGGCACGAGTTGAGCATGTTGATCATGCTCGTCGATCTGCACAGCATTGTGTCAAGGCATTACTTAGTGCACAAACTCACACGTATGTAACGTCTATCCCTTTTGTTCCTCAAGCCAAATTTCTGTGATGTTAGATACATACAGTGCCGCTCCTTAATTCTGAAAAGTTGACTTGAATCATTACTTGTTTATATTTTCCAGATATGATTATCTGCCCTACTTTTACTCGAGGGTTTTTGAGTATGAAGGGAGCCGCAGGAAAGTTTGGTGGCAGTTTTTTGGGGACAATGGTGAGAATTTATTTTACTTTGCATTTGTAACAGTACATGTAAAAAATATATGTTATCTCACTTTTCAATTATAATCTTTTTGGCCAGTTGGAGAGACCGTTGAGATTGGAAATTTTGATCCCAAAATTGCTACTTTCTGGATAGATTCTGGTAATGGAACTTCTTAGAGTCCTCTCCTCCCTATTCATTTTCTGTTACACTTTTGACCAAGAAAGATTGAACTTTTTCGTAATGACTTTTACAGGTAAATTGAAAGGAGTTCTTCTTGAAAGTGGAAGTGCTGAGGTAGTTTCCTTTACAAGATTTCCATGCCACTTAGAATTGTTGGTTGAATAGTTGACACTGTTTACTTATGTTGAATTTAGGTCATCTCTAAGAGAAGTAAAAAAAAAAGTGGTGCAAAGCAGAAAGTGCTAGGATATAAGTAAACATGGTGTTCATACAAACCGTCTATTCTACATAAAGTATATATGTTTTAACTAAGTTGATCTTTTCAATAGAGAAAAAGGAAATAATATATGGAAAGAGGGAGGTAATTACAGATTTCAGTGTTGAGTTGACATGTATGAAATAAGAATATAGTCGATTGTTAAATAGGTTGTAGGAGATGCAGTGTTTTGCATGTCGGATCAACTTTCAGTAAGAGATGGCTCTTTGAGTCGATGATGTCAATATCATATCCTTCTTGGTATTTCTCAGCAGAAAAATTTAGTTAGCTATATTTAGGGCTTCCTGCGAGGTTTAACAGTATGTAATTCATAGATTCATTGGATACTTGTAATCATTTCGTCTGAGATGCTGTATTTACTTTCATCTTTTGTGCTATGTTATTATAGACTTTGCTCTCAAGGCTCTAAAGGTCACATTGTTTTGATCATGTTATAGGAATTTAAAATCCTTCCCGAACTTGCAAGGAACCA